CTTTATGCACCAAGAGCTTGTAACACTCCAAAGAGAAAGGAAAAATTGAAATCGCATCATATGACCCCTTTAAATTGCGTCATCAAGTTCAACAATCCACTCTAGGGTCTGTTACCAAACAAAATGGACCCTTTTCACAAGACTGATGACGCGCTTAACGGTCATCAGCATCGTAAATCCTCGAAAGTTTTTTAGATTTTAATTTTTAAAAAGTTGTATGTGCATTTATAACACTATATTGTGTATTATATCACCTTTGCATCAAATTACAAAAAAAAGCTAGTTAACGCTAATGTGCTGGTGTTTCTAATGCAGCGTCTCTGGGAGGGACAGCAAATTTGACCTCGTTCTCTCTTCTGACTGCCGTCATCAGTCTCTCTCAGTTATTTTCCTTTTTTAAAGTCATGAAAACACTATCGTGGAGTTTTTCTTTTGCTATTTGAGCAAATGAGAATGCAAAAAGTCAGGCCCGGATCACCATCATAACTGTTCAGTTTTGACCTGGACTTCTATTAGATGACCTGTACAAACCCACATAATACCTTTATACACATGTTTTGTTTTTTTATTCTGTCACAATGTCATAGAAGACTAAAAAGAAAAAAAAAAGATTACATTTAAAAGGAGGGCATAACATGAACAAAGGTTACTTCCACAGCCATCAATACTGCCACTCTTAGCATTTTTGAGTTCTTGAAGAATCAGATTATAATTAATTACACAGCTCATGTTAAAATGAGTTTATTGTGTGCTATATCTACCTTACAGTTACTCACCTGAATCAAGAAGTGCTGGTGAAACCCATCCATGCAGATTATCTTCTCATATCCAACCAAAAGCTCTGTTTGATGCTCTCTTCACCCCATTCTCAGCTCATCCACAGCAGGGAACAGCCAAACAATCTGAGCCTTTTCTCCTATAATACAAATCCAGCACATCACTTCTGCTCACCAATGAGCCCAGTGTGCTATCGAGCTGCGGCTCAGTGTCTAATGGAGGCTCTCTGTGAATATATCTCAGAGCTTCTCAAATGCACTCTGCTCTCACAGAGATGGAGGCGGGGAGAACAGCATCTGACAGCAGCAGGCTACAGACAAAACATGAGGTCACAGCAGAAACTGGGCTGAACGTCTGTATGTTTGATCACTTATATTCGAGACACAAGCACGAGTTTGTTTCATATCATGCTCTTTATCAATTTAAGAAAAGCTATTGCTATGAAATGTTTTTTGAAGTATTTTTTGTTGACAAGCATGGAGACTGCACAAACAGGGCTGTAAAGCTCCAGATATGCAAACCACCTTAACACTAAGAGATGACCACAGCTCTGAACATATTGATTCTGGAATGGTCTGCTCCATCAGTAAACCGCCTCTGCTATAAAAGCCTTCAGGACAGCAGTACATCTCTCTCTTGCACACACACTCACTCACTCACTCACACACGCACGCACACACACACAGACGCACGCACACACACACAGACGCACGCACACACACGCACACAGACGCACGCACACACACGCACACAGACGCACGCACACACACGCACACAGACGCACGCACACACACGCACACAGACGCACGCACACACACGCACACAGACGCACGCACACACACGCACACAGACGCACGCACACACACGCACACAGACGCACGCACACACACGCACACAGACGCACGCACACACACGCACACAGACGCACGCACACACACGCACACAGACGCACGCACACACACGCACACAGACGCACGCACACACACGCACACAGACGCACGCACACACACGCACACAGACGCACGCACACACACGCACACAGACGCACGCACACACACGCACACAGACGCACGCACACACACGCACACAGACGCACGCACACACACGCACACAGACGCACGCACACACACGCACACAGACGCACGCACACACACGCACACAGACGCACGCACACACACGCACACAGACGCACGCACACACACGCACACAGACGCACGCACACACACACACACACATCCCCAGACTCCTTCATCCTCTGGTCTCTCCTGATAGGTGCATTGCTATAAAATACAAATGTGATGAGTTGTAAAGACATGCAAACAGAATAATCTATTTGCCATTGGAAACAACCAGAAATAAAAAGAAAACTAATAAGAGGAAAAAATCATGTACATGTATTCAGACCTGTTAAGATGTAAGAATATTTCTGACTTTTAGTTTCTGCTGGCTGGCTCTCTTAGTTTGTGGCAGGCTGTTACATATTTAGCTGCTGTTGTGATCAAACTGGAGTTTTCTCCCAATATATGTCTTCATTGTTCTGGATTTGGAACAGCCATAAACTTGAGTGCTATTTACTGAAATGTTGTGATGGTGATCGAGTTCTTCAGCTCTGTGAGAGCTCTGTCTGTGCCTCCTCTCTAGTGAACCCTGTCTGTATTAGGTTATGTTTCCTCACTTTACACTCTT